GGATGCTTACCCTTCCGCTTGGCGCCTGATCCCACTGCTGATGATTTTAGAAGTCCGTGTTTGCTCTGCTCCCAACATGCATTGTTTACATGGACTTCCGAACTTGATTACTGTTCGATGTCTCTACATTTCTGGCCTTTTATGATTGTAATTACATGGATGTTGTAACTAGTGATGGGCACAACTAGCTACAGAAATGTAGCTCTCCGAAAAAAAATATATTGACAGACCAGAGAGCTACAGTGCCACCCATTGGAAAAAAAAACTGTATTTATTGCGCACAAAAAAGTGCGCTGTTTCTCGATTTATTTCTCCATGTTTCTAAAACTGTCCCTCAAAATATTACTAATCGTGTGTTCCTAACATATTCTTTCGCTATTTCCACAACAAAACATTCCTTGAAATTGTTGTTAATAGCCCCTCTGGGCCTAAAATTGAGATCATCGAAAATTTCGTCTATTTTTACTGCCATTTTGGTTTGCAAGATAATTCTGTCCAACGCGCTCCGTGTAGATGTCAATTACGAGAGTACCTGATAGAGGAGTAAGGAATAATTTGAAATTCAGCTTTTTTGAAATTGAGGTAAGAATTTGGAAGAATTAATCCAGATCCAAGCGCAACTTTTTGTGCGCAATAAATATACAGTTTTTTTCAATGGATGGCACTGTAGCTCTCCGGTCTGTCATCTATATTTTTTGGAGAGCTACAGTTCAGAGGCAGGCTTCAAAGAATTAAATTTGCGTTTTGGAAAGAAGTGTATAGCTAACAAACAAAGGCTAGGAAAAAACTTTTCAAAATTTATTATAGAAATTTACATTCGTGATTCATATTTTTACCTTCTGTAATTTGTTCCTTTTATGCACGAAAAATATTTTTTATGCTGCAAACAGGCAAGTACCAGTATAATATACCTTTTGACCATTAAGCTTGAGTTGCTTATGAAAATCATAAAAAAAATATTTCACTTATTTAAGAATTTTTGGGTACGATTTTTGATCTAATGACCTTGACCTCAGATTATGACTATCTTTTCCCATATATTCTGAATGGTTGCTGCCAGGACTTTCATATTTCAGATATGTATTACTTGTAACAGTATCTTTTTGAGTACCAACATTTTTGAACTCATGATCATGACATTAGAGTTTGGCCTACATTTGAGAAACTTAAACCTTGGCCTTGAACTTGTTGTACGGAGGCATCAGTTTTTTTACAAACATATATATTGTTAAAATTTGAGTTGAAGTGAGGAATATGTCTTTACCGTGTGCTAGTTTAGAAATAATATAAGTTGGTTTTTAGGAAGTATTCATTGCACAGATGATACTGATAACAAGATTTTGAAATTGAAATATCTATCATCCGTTTCACTTTCCCCTTTGTTTAGTAGATTAAAAAAAACTAAATTGGTCATTCAAGAAGTTAGCCTTTTTAAACCTTGGCCAGTGGTGAGGAATCTCTGTTGTCTACGATTAACCAGAGCCTCTGTCTCCACGAGGAACACTTGGTTGTTTCAGGTTCTGACGTCGGGTGAATTGTTTTACGGAATTGTCTTGTCATTTCTTCCTGTTGTTTGAACGCCAAATATCTGATTAAAAGAAATAGTAAATATGAAATAAACCATGGCATCTTGTGGAAATATGAAACTTTTTACATTTTCTTAAAGTCAGTGCGATGGTTTGCCAAACTTGGAGTACTATTATTTCCTTGAGCCCAAAGCTGGCAGCACTCAACTACTAGGCTACTGCAAGTGGTGAGATATTAGCTTGTGGAAAGGGGAAGAGATATGTTTAGAACCAGGGCGCCAGAAAAGCTGAAACTTATTTGAAAGAATTCTTGGGTAGTGCAGATTCTAAAGTATTCAAATCATGACCAACCCCATCCCGATATAGGGCTGGGCCACAAGGGGGAATTTAAGTTTACGTTGAAATATATAGGAAAATGTTATTTAAAAAATCTTTTTTATCATTGACAGCTGCTTTTTCAATAAAAATGGAACTCGAAAATTTACTTATCTTCTCATTGGTCATTTTCAAAATTAAAAAAAAATTCAAAATTGTTAAAAAACATTCTGTTTGTACACACAAGTAATCTGAAGTCGACATCAAAAAGATGCCCGAGATTCTGATTGACAGTATCTATCATGTTGTTTTTTGGAGACCAGGTCTTCCAACAATTTATTGGAATTCCTATGGGTACCAATTGCGCCCCGTTATTAGCAGACCTATTTTTGTATTCATTTGAAGCAGAATTTGTGCAAAATCTTATGCGTGAAAAGAAGAAAAACACTTTCTGTGGCCTTCAACTCGACATTTAGATATACGGACGATGTACTGTCAATAAACAAAGATAATTTCCATTATTATGTCGATACGATATATTCTGGTGAGCAGCTTGAGATAAAAGATACCACAGAGTCTGGTACATTTGTTCATATTTAGATATTTTACTTGAAAAAGACGTTAATGGTTATCTAACAACCAAGCTGTATGATAAACATGATGACTTTAACTTTTCTATCTTCAAGTTCCCTTAATTATGCAGCAATATACCTTCCTCACCTGTATACGGAGTTTACATATCTCAGTTGATTAGATACGCAAGAGCATGCTCTATGTATGAACAATTTCTACAACGAGGTACATTATTGACAAACAAGTTGATGAAACAAGAATTTCAGCAGTCTCGTTTAATCCATCATTTCGCAAGTTCTATGGTTGATACAATGACCTTGTCAGCAAATACAATTTATCATCGAGTTAAATGCTGACTGACGTTTTTCATACTAATTGTTAGTCCATTATTTACACACTGAATTGACGACGGATTTTTCCGTTATTTCCCGATCATGAGAAAGAGCACACGGCGGGTATGAACGGTCGGCAGGAGACGCTCACTCCTCCATGGCACCTGATCCCACCTCCAATGTTTTGGAAGAAAAATCTGTTAATATCTTCTCAAGAACCACTAGGCAAGAAAAATAGCTATCCTTCTTTTCAGATATAATTTATCTTCTTTCGGTATATTGATGTAATTAAGGTATGATCACGTTATATCTTTCTGCGACACACATAAGTTTGAATCTATAAAACTATGCAAAGTATGACGATTTATTAACTTTTAGCAGCAAACAATCGTTGATTACCAGCGCAAAATTCTTCGATTTTTTATGCACATTGAAATATAAATGGAATTTCTGATCTTCTTGTCGTCCCAATGAGCCGTCTGTAAACGTTTCACATTTTCAACTTGTTCAAAAAACCAATGGACCAATGCTAAAACAATTGGTTCAAGTTTAACATTGAAATATATAAGAAAAATCTGTTAATATCTTCTCAAAAGTGAAGGCAAGAAAAAGGTGGGTAACCTGCTTTTCAGATATACTTTACATATTGAGTAATTAAGAATCCATATCTTTACATTACACACATAATTTGAATTTATAAAACTATGCAAAGTATGACGATTTATTAACTTTTAGCCTGCAAACACAGTTGATTACCAGCGCAAAATTCTGTTTTTAGCTCACCTGAGCTGAAAGCTATTCCTTTTCTGATCACCTTTTGTCGTCCTTCCGTCTGTAAACGTTTCACATTTTCAACTTCTTCTCAAAAACCAATGAACCAATGCTAACCTGAATTGTTTCAAAGCATTATTGGTTGAAGGGAAGTTACAATTCTTAAAAGTGAAGGACCAAGTCCCAAAGGTGGGTAGGGCGGGGCCACAAAAGGGAATCCAGTTTTTACATTGAAATATCTGAACATTTATATCTATATCTAATTTTTTACCTGTAAAGACAGCATGGTTCCAGCATTTCTGTTTTTATTCCCCAATATTCCATTTCTTCGGCGAATTCCTCGGGACACATATTACGGGCCATATGTAGCTTGCTGGTAAGATAAAAATTCTGAATGGATTTGAATGCGTCATCTGGACGGTTGAAAGAAATCTCTGTTTTCTCCGTTAATTCAGGTAACATTTTTTCCAATAAAGTCCCTGGATATTTCAGGATATTTTTTACAGGAATTTCAAATTTTGTTCCTGACACGGAAATCTCCGCTGAGGAAGGTTTCGAGTAATCTGTGCATGATTTCGTAAGACACTCTGATTTGTCTTCCATCTTTAAGCTAAAAAAAATTGTTTAAAAAGATGTTCCATTATCATATATCTCTTTAGAAGATTTTGTTAATAGAAGATGGTGCATTCAATTGAATGATTATAAAGCTCTGTATGAGATGTGTTAAAATACATATCGATTATTCTAATTGCAGGATTTAACGTGCACGAGTCTTTTGTTACGAAAAGTTTCAAAATACTAACGAATTGGTTAGGGACACCAGCTGTGTCACTAATGCACTATGTACTGTTGAATGTAATATTATTAAACAAAAATCATGTTACAGCAGTAGTTTACCAAGAATCAATGTTAAATACAGTTGAATGACATTGTTCCATAATAAATTCCCAATGGTCATAAAAGCTCTTCTTGTCAACAATAAAAAAAAATCGTTTCGTTTCTTGGTACACACGATTGATACGCAGTATCCCCATAAATAAATATGATCAGCAAAAGCCATTTAATATTTATGAAATCAATTCAATTTGTCTCTTGCATCTACAATGAAATGCATCAATGTACCTGTTTAGTTTTTATAACAAGAAACTAGGGAAAAAGTTGAATTATGCTGGGCATAGTTGTTAACCAAAAAATCCTTTGAAAACTTCTCCATGATTTCTCAGTTTTAAGAGTTGTTAACAACCCTCTTGGGCTGGAACTTAGGACCATCGGTAATTTCGCTTAAATCTATACAGACAACAACCAATTTTGGTGGCAAGATAATTCTATCCAGCCCACTTCCTAGGGATGTCAACTAAGATAACTGATGATAAAGGTCTTATGAACCTAAGCCTCCGTTTAATGGAGGTAAGAATCTGGAGAATTTAATCCAGAACCGACCACAACGTTTCATCTGCAATCAATACATTTATTTTTCCTACGTGTTGTACTGTAGGTCTCTGGTCCATCCCAATTTTACGGTTCCTCTTTTTAATCCTTAAATTTCAGGCCCGTTGACCTCGTTATATTAAAAGGTTGACACCATCAGTAACACTATATCACTATACACTGTTCTTGGTGTTCGATATGTGCACGTATATGGACTGCATTATTAACATATATTCAAATATTTAAATCTATGTATAAATAATTTTACTAATCTTCAAATAATTGAACCTATTTCTAAATAGGTACAATTTGATTAAAGATAGGGGTAAAAATTATACGTATTTCTAAATAATTAAACTTGTGTTCATTTATAACGTATAACATATAAGGAAAAAATACCTGCAGTAAGCGACAAAAAAGCGGCGGCGTAAATCGTCGGTTTTTACAACGCATGAATCTGTAGCTCTCTGCTTTATCTGTCCGAATTTTCTCAAGCAGAGAGCTACAGGTCTGCTGCTAATTTAAAGTATAATAAGCAGATTCAAAGAATTATGCCCCCCTCCCGCTTTCGGTGTCTTTGTGGGTGAGATGTCATTTTTTTTTATGGAATATTGTGTCAAATATGAACGCCCTATTATCCAAAATATCTTGTCACAGGTATTGTGCATGTCAAATATGAAAATCCTGTCTCTTCTTAATTAAAGTTATAAGGAAAAATTAACATTTTGGAAAATTAGGTCAAACTTCAAGGACAAGGTCACAATATCAAAAAACATAGTATATTTAGAAAGGTCTTACATGTATAACAAGCAATACACAGGTTTAATATGAAAGCCCTATCTATTTTTTAAGTGCATGTATAATGCATGAAATGAAGTTTTAACTTGACCATTTCTGCGGTTCTAGATACCATGTTTTCAACCTGCAACTCTGACATCAAACTTGACCCCACGACCGGAAGATATCTGTGATCAGTTAAAGTAACAGCCACAAAGGACTTTGTCAGCGATGGAACTCAGACACATGAAGTTTCATTTAATCATTGACTTCAATCACCCAGTATGGACAGGCTATAATGTACAAGCAATCCATATAAGAACGACTGGAGCTTCTCTGGTGTTGTTTACATTGTTATTCCTTATGGTCGCGCACATGTTGCAGTGGTTAGAGCGTCTGCTCTAGAGTCGCTAGGTAAGGAGTTGATCCTTACGTCGCGATTTCGAATCCCACTGTGGAACATGGAGACCGGTCCTTTGGATGAGACCGTGTAAACCGAGGTCCCATGTCGCAGTAGGTTCTGGCACGAAAAAGACCCCTCACTGCTCAATGGACGTAAATGCCGAGTTTAGGACAATATTTTCAGCAAGTGATGGCGTCTCCATATGAGTGAAAAATGCTCGAGCGGGACGTTAAACAACATGCAATCAATCAATCATTTCCTTATCATAAAATTGATCTTTTAAATCTGTTAAACTATCATAAATCTTTTTAAAAACTTTAACAAAATTATCTAATTTGTTTTTACATGTCTACATCTATGTCTTTTGGCTGATCTTGTGGTTACGTCAAACGAAAAGTAACGTTTGACTACCCACTTATATTGTAAGCTGTATCATTAATAGGCAGAAATTCAAAGTTATGATCAGTACGAACGGCAAATTATATATTAACAAATTTGTTCAATCTTTTTTAAAGGTGACAGCAGCAAGCAGTGAATATGGACATTGTAATGTCCACGGGGATTCACACGTAATAGGAATGGACCATAAAAGGTAACATAGGTAATATATGTATCTTAGTCTCAATATGGAACGTGTAACATATGATATCAGATTATTCGATTATTTTAGCTTTTTCCAGTATGATTCAGATTATTTCTTATTATTTCATAGGAACACCAACGTTTATGTTACTGGTGAAATGACACTATACGAATGCAAGTCAGCCAGCAAACCACTACAGGTACTAAACATTGAAAACTACCGCGCTTTACAGAACTTAAAGCAATTGTTCTGATGATATTTTGGTATGAGTTATTCATTACCCGTCCAAAAA